CTCCGCAGAAAGACTGTTCCAAGAATTTGAAGACGTGTTTTCTAGAAACAGTAGCGATATTGGCCATACTACAGTGACACAACACAGAATTGATACAGCAGACCATCCGCCGATTAAACAGCACCCAAGACGCTTGCCGTTTGCTAAACAGGAAGAGGTCGGAACACTACTACGAGAGATGCAGGAAAATGACATCATAGAACCGTCTTCGAGTCCGTGGGCATCTCCAATCGTCTTGGTTCGTAAGAAAGATGGCTCCACAAGATTTTGCGTGGACTATCGAAAACTTAACGACGTCACCAAGAAGGACAGCTACCCTCTTCCAAGGATAGATGACACCCTGGATACCCTTTCCGGTCATAAATGGTTCTCGACTTTAGATTTAAAGAGCGGATACTGGCAAGTGGAGATCCATCCCGAAGATAGAGAAAAACAGCATTCACTTCCGGCCAAGGACTATGGCAGTTCAAAGTCATGCCGTTCGGGCTCTGCAATGCGCCAGCTACTTTCGAGCGCCTGATGGAGACCGTGCTAAAGGGTCTGACTTTTGAAGCTTGCCTTATTTACCTGGATGACGTCATAATAGGAGGGCGTACGTTTGAAGAACATCTTCAAAATATCCGGAAGGTGTTATCAAAATTAAGCGACGCTAACTTGAAGCTAAACCCTTCGAAATGCAAGTTCTTCCAGAAAGAAGTCAATTATCTGGGACACATCATCTCTGCAGAAGGTGTTCGTACGGACCCCGAAAAAGTGTCCGCCGTAAAGAATTGGAAACGCCCTGAAAACCTCCGTGAGCTGCGAAGCTTCCTGGGACTATGTACTTATTACCGAAAGTTTGTGAAAGGGTTCTCTAACATCGCAAGACCCTTGCACAAGCTAACAGAAAGTAAACAAAAGTTTCAGTGGACAAAAGAATGTGAAGATTCCTTCCTCCAGCTTAAAGAAGCTTTGACGTCTTCACCGATCTTAATATATCCACAACCGGACAAGCCATTTATCTTGGACACTGATGCCAGTAATGAGAGTGTCGGAGCAGTATTATCTCAGGAAATAGATGGCCAGGAACGAGTCGTAGCTTATTGGAGTAAGTGTTTATCGAAACCGGAAAGAAATTATTGTGTCACTCGAAAAGAGCTACTGGCTATTGTGAAAGCCATCGAGCATTTCCATCACTATCTCTATGGCCAAAAATTTCTTCTACGTACCGATCATGCCTCTTTAACCTGGCTAATGAATTTTAGAAATACTGAAGGCCAGGTAGCCAGATGGATACAACGGCTCAACGAGTATTACTTTGACATCAGACATCGTAAAGGCTCCTCGCATGGAAATGCTGATGCCCTTTCAAGAAGACCATGCCCAGAAAATTGTCGTCATTGTTCCAGAGTAGAGACCAAATATGACTATGCTATACGCCAGATAACAACTTCAACAGCGACGCCACCCGATCCCTGGAGTGACGAGAAAGTTCGAGGAGACCAGATGGCGGATCCTGATATTAAACCCCTTATAGAGTTTATGGAGTCCTCCAGCAATAAACCAAGTTGGCAGGACATCTCGGCTTATAGTCCTACAACTAAGCAGTATTGGGTCCTCTGGAATTCTCTACATCTCAGGAATGGTGTTCTATACCGAAAATTCGAATCAGAGGATGGAAAGACATTCAGGTGGCAATTAGTACTTCCTCGATCTCGTATCCCAGAGGTACTCAAAGAATTGCATGGCAGCCCAACAGGAGGTCATTTCGGCGTCATGAAAACTTTGCACCGAGTTCGAGAACGATTCTTCTGGGGTAAAGTGAGAGCTGACGTGGAACAGTGGTGCAAGTCCTGTGATGCCTGTTCAGCTCGGAAGGGGCCAAAGATACGTAGCCGAGGGAAGCTGCATCGCTACAATGTTGGAGCACCCTTCGAACGTATCGCTTTCCATATCCTGGGACCTCTGCCAAGGACTGCGTCTGGTAATAAGTACCTACTTGTTGTCATGGACTACTTCACGAAATGGCCCGAAGTGTACCCCATTCCGGATCAGGAAGCCCCCACCGTAGCGGAGGCTGTAGTGCAGCACTGGATATCGAGATATGGGGTACCTCTTCAACTTCATTCCGATCAGGGAAGAAATTTCGTCTCTGCGGTATTGAAGGGGGTCTGTGAACTACTCGGAATTGACAAGACCAAGACCACACCTTTGCACCCACAGTCAGATGGCATGGTGGAGAGGTTTAATCGTACCATCCTGAATAACCTCTCACTGATGGTCTCCAAGAACCAACAAGACTGGGACCAGAAAGTTCCTCTCTTTCTGCTAGCGTACCGCAGCGCCGTTCACGAGACTACCGGATATTCACCATCCCAGATGCTTTTTGGCCGAGATCTTCGTCTCCCTTGTGACCTGCTGTTTGGTCGCCCTCCGGATACACCTTCATCGCCTGAGGAGTACGTGCAGAATCTCCAGGCACGTTTTGAAGATGTACACAATTTGGCTCGAGAACGGATCAACCTGAGGACGGAGAAGATGAAGACTCGGTACGACACAAAAGCCACAGGACATCAGTTCAAGGAAGGTGACAAGGTGTGGTTCTACAACCCGACTCGACGCAAAGGACTTTCTCCTAAGCTACAATCGCATTGGGACGGTCCTTATACAATTTTAAAGATAATAAACGACGTCGTAATCCGGATCCGTAAGTCAACGAATTCGAAGCCTAGAGTCGTTCATTACGACAGGCTTGCTCCATATTATGGCCATAATTATTAGTGTGTCAATTATCGTGTAATTTATTTTGACCATGGTCTTGTATAAATAAGTTAGTGTGTAAATAATCTTGTAAATAATTTTGTATATTGTTTTGTAAGTGTTTATTTTCTACTATGCATTACGTGTTTATTTTGTACTATGCATTAGGTGTTTATTTTGTACTATGTATTACATGTTTATTATTGCATATTCATTTAATTGTTTTTAATCAATTGCTTTATTATTATGTTAACGTCTGATGAAGGGTTGTACTGCCCGGGACGTGCAGTTCTTGAGAGGGGGGCAATGTTACGAATTTAGTCTTATTCTAATTGTTTCTACTCATTTGTGTTCATTTCTACAGTCTAATTTGTCGTATCTAATGTGATTTCAACCCTGTTTACCTGTAATATCATTTCCACTGCATTGCACGGCCCCCATGCTTTAACATTGGTTTAAATGGTAAACTCGCCAAATATTGCAGCTAGCGCCAAGTTGGCGACGGATTTGGCGACTTAATTTTTGGCGCCAAATTTGGCGATATATCGCCAAATGTGGGCGATAAGCTTGGCGGCCATGGCAACCCTGCTCCTAATAACCCTGTCTGGCAACCCTATCGCGGTATTGTAACACTATGTATTGAGCTTTTCTCATACCTTCCGGATTTTTCTAGACCTTTCTATTTCTAGATTATTCTGGCAAGTGCCAGAGGTTTCTGACCGAAAGGTATAAAAGGGCCCGAGCCGGCTAGTTAGTTAGTCAGATCTCAGCTTTCATGCAAGTGATACCTCTCTGCTTGAGAGAGACGATTGCATAGTGCGTGTGTTATTGCTTTTATTGAGTTATTATTTTTGTGCTGAGTGTTTACTATTGTTTTTGTTAGTGTATTGCATCTGTGTTATCAGTATTTTCATCGATTGTACGTGAATTTCTCGAACTGTTCTACAATTTGTGGAGGACTGTTTTGGCAAAGAATAAAATTGTTTTGGATCCCGCTCTTCGGCTTCAATCATTTCGAACCCCCGAAAACGCAACAATATATATATATATATATATATATATATATATAGGTATGAAAATCCTTTCTCTTCCTAAAAAGACATCCCTCTTTTGGATCGAAAAATACCGGATACATCGAGTGTGAATCGAATGCACTATCAAAAGAAAAATACGGAAGATTCGTCTTTTCATTAGAAACAATATACTGCTTCAGCAAATATTTGCAAAACCACCAGCGAGGTTTGAACACACGAACCATGGTTTACAAGACCAGTGCTCTGCCACTGAGCTATGATGTCGAGGATTTCACTCATATTACTCATTGCACATTTTTGTTTTATTAGTGACATTTCTCTCGCCTAGCAATTTATATATATATATATAGGTATGAAAATCCTTTTTCTTCCTAAAAAGACATCCCTCTTTTGGATCGAAATATTCCGGATACATCGAGTGAGAATCGAATGCACTGTAAAAAGAATAATACGGAAAATGTGTCTTTTCATTAGAAAAAACATACTGCTTGAGCAAATATTTGCAAAGCCACCAGTGAGGATCGAACTCACGACCCCTGTTTACAAGACCAGTGCTCTGCCACTGAGCTATGATGGCGACGGTTTTCACTCATATTACTCATTGCACATTTTTGGTTTTTCAGTGAAATTTCACTCAGATAGCAATTTATATAACCGCTATATATATATATATAGCCCCATATATACTGATAATCATATATATATATATATATATAAAGATATATATATATATATATATATATATATATATAATATATATATAGGTATGAAAACCTTTCTTTCCTAAAAAGACATTCCCCTTCTGGATCGAAAAATTCCGGAAAAACATCGAGTGTGAATCGAATGCACTATCAAAAAAAAATACGGAAAATGAAGTCTTTTCATTAGAAACAATATACTGCTTCAGCAAATATTTGCAAAGCCACCAGTGAGGTTCAACACACGACCCCGGTTTACAAGACCAGTGTTCTGCCACTGAGCTAAGATGGCGACGGAATTGACTCTTATTACTCATTACAGATTTTTGTTTTTTAATGACATTTATCTCGTTTATTAGATTTGACAAGTAAGAGTATAAAATCAGACCTCTTTCTAAAAAGACATCCCTCTTTTGGATCGAAATATTACGGATACATCGAGTGAGAATCGAATGCACTATAAAAAGAATAATACGGAAAATGCATCTTTTCATTAGAAACAACATACTGCTTGAGCAAATATTTGCAAAGCCACCAGTGAGGTTCGTAAGAACTCACGACCCCTGGTTTACAAGACCAGTGCTCTGCCACTGAGCTATGATGGCGACGGTTTTCACTCCCTATTACTCATTGCACATTTTTGGTTTTTTTAGTGAATTTCTCTCGCATAGCAATTTATACTATTAGATTTAAATATATACTGGCAAAATCTATCCCGAAGATTCTAAAAAACATATTCACTTTGGATCGAAACTATACAAAGTCATGCCGTTCGGGCTCTCGAATGCGCCAGCTATAAAAGAAAATATGGAAGATGCGTCTTTTTCATTAGAAACAACTTATACCTGGATTGACGTCAAATATTTGCAAAGCCACCAGTGAAAACATGAACACACGAACCAAGGTTTATAAGACCATTAAGCGACGCTAACTGAGCTAAATGGCGAAATAATTACATCCATTACTCATTACAAGTCAATTATCTATGACATTTATCTCTGCATATATAGATTCGTACGGAAGAAAACTTTTCTTCCTAAAAAAACAAATCCCCTTTTGATCGAAATATTTGGATACATCGAGTGAGAATCGAATGCACTTATAAAAGAATAATACGGAAAATGCGTCTTTTCATTAGAAAAACAACATACTGCTTGAGCAAATATTTGCAAAGCCACCAGTGAGGATCGAACTCACCATTTTGGTTTATGACATTTAAGACAAGATTTTTGTTTTATCTTGCCACTGATGCCAGTAATGATTGTGTCGGACGGTATTATTCAGTGAAATAGATGGCCATTACGGAACAGTTTTTTCAGACATTATTGGAGTAAAGTGTTTATCGAAACCGGAAAGTGCTAATTATGATGTCACTCGAAAAAGCTTCCCTTTTTATTAGAAATATTCCGATATTTCCATCGAATGCACTATAAAAAAGAATAATACGGAAAATGCATCCTCTTTAATTAGAAACAACATACTGATAGCCAATGGATTTGCAAAGCCACAACGAGTATTAACTTTGACGACCCCTCGTTTACAAGACCAGTGCTCTGCCACTGATATGATGATGCCGAGTTTCACTCATATTACTCATTTTTTTTAGCACATTTTGCGTTTTATTATAAAATTGTCGTCATTATTCAGATAGATATAAATATGATATGCTATATATATAGATAACATATTCATCCCTGAGGTGACGATCGAATCGAGTTCGAATGCACTAGACCAAAAGATGGCGGATATATTAAACCCCTATATAGAGTTTATTGGAGTCTTCCAGCAATAAACCAAGTTGGCAGGACATTTCGGCTTATAGTCCTATTACTAAGCACATTTTTGCCCTTTTTATGTGACATTCTCTCGCCTATCTTTATATATGTTATATAGGTATGAAAATCCTTTTCTTCCTAAAAGACATCCCTCTTTTGGATCGAAATATTCCGGATACATCGAGTGAGAATCGAATGCACTGTAAAAAGAATAATACGGAAAATGCGTCTTTTCATTAGAAACAACATACTGCTTGAGCAAATATTTGCAAAGCCACCAGTGAGGATCGAACTCACGACCCCTGGTTTACAAGACCAGTGCTCTGCCACTGAGCTATGATGGCGACGTGTTTCACTCATATAACTCATTGCACATTTTTGTTTTTTTAGTGACATTTCTCTCGCATAGCAATTTATATATATATATATATATATATATAGGTATAAAATGTTTCTCTTCCTAAAAGACATTCCCCTTCTGGATCGAAAAATACCGGATACATCGAGTGTGAATCGAATGCACTATCAAAAGAAAAATACGGAAGATTAGTCTTTTCATTAGAAACAATATACTGCTTCAGCAAATATTTGCAAAGCCACCAGCGAGGTTTGAACACACGAACCATGGTTTACAAGACCAGTGCTCTGCCACTGAGCTACGATGGCGACGGAATTCACTCTTATTACTCATTACAGATTTTTGTTTTTTTAATGACATTTCTCTCGTTTATTAGATTTGTAAGAGAAACTTTTCTCTTTCTAAAAAGACATCCCTCTTTTGGATTGAAATATTACGGATACATCGAGTGAGAATCGAATGCACTATAAAAGAATAATACGGAAAATGCGTCTTTTCATTAGAAACAACATACTGCTTGAGCAAATATTTGCAAAGCCACCAGTGAGGATCGAACTCACCACCCCTGGATTACAAGACCAGTGCTCTGCCACTGAGCTATGATGTCGAGGATTTCACTCATATTACTCATTGCACATTTTTGTTTTATTTCTACAACCCGACTCGACGCAATGACATTTACTCTCGCATATAATTTATATATATATATATAATCCGGTATAAGTAAAAATCCTTTTCTTCCTAAAAAGCTTCCCTCTTTTGGATCGAAATATTCCGGATACATCGAGTGAGAATCGAATGCACTGTAAAAAGAATAATACGGAAAATGCGTCTTTTCATTAGAAACAACATACTGCTTGAGCAAATATTTGCAAAGCCACCAGTGAGGATCGAACTCACGACCCCTGGTTTACAAGACCAGTGCTCTGCCACTGAGCTATGATGCCGACGTGTTTCACTCATATTACTCATTGCACATTTTTTTTTTTAGTGACATTTCTCTCGCATAGCAATTTATAGAGGGGGGCAATGTTACGAATTTGGTCTTGTTCTAATTGTTTCTACTCATTTGTGTTCATTTTTACAGTTTAATTTGTCGTATCTGGTGTGATTTCAACCCTGTTTACCTGTAATATCATTTCCACTGCATTGCACGGCCCCCATGCTTTAACATTGGTTTAAATGGTAAACTCGCCAAATATTGCAGCTAGCGCCAAGTTGACGACGGATTTGGCGACTTAATTTTTGGCGCCAAATTTGGCGATATATCGCCAAATGTGGGCGATAAGCGGCGACCATGGCAACCCTGCTCCTAATAACCCTGTCTGGCAACCCTATCGCGGTATTGTAACACTATGTATTGAGCTTTTCTCGTACGCTCCGGATTTTTCTAGACCTTTCTATTTCTAGATTATTCTGGCAAGTGCCAGAGGTTTCTGACCGAAAGGTATAAAAGGGCCCGGGCCGGCTAGTCAGTCAGTCAGATCTCAGCTTTCATGCAAGTGATACCTCTCTGCTTGAGAGAGACGATTACATAGTGCG